GCACCGCAACGGTCGGTAGTCAGGTCAGAGGGTAAGGTGACCCAACCTTCTCACCTGGTTACAAATCTTCTTAATTACAAAATTGTCCAGTTTGTACATGCCATTACTCAAATTCATGTTGACTGCTTCGGTATGTTTAATGAGACTAGATTCTATGATGTTCCTACTGTCAATTGAATTACAAGGTAATATTGAGGAGGCATTATCCCAGTCAATGCAATGCTTATTATCCCTCAAATGAACAAACAGAGCATTGGATTCCTGGCCTGTCCTAACACTATATTTATGTTGTTTAAATCTGGTTACAAGATCTTTACCTGTCTGGCCTAAGTAAAACATATTACATTCCTTGCAAGGAACTTTATAAATGCAACCAATTGTGTTGTTGGGGGAGTTCCTGATTAACATTTGTTTAACAGTGCATGAGTTTTTAAATGCCACATTGACGTTCCAGGTTTTTAGTTGTAAAGGAATGTGTGAGAAATTTTTGTGAAATGGTAATATTAAGATATTCTTATGGTCATGGGTGGGCTTGGGATCAGTTCTATAAAAAGATTTCTTAGTAATGTTTAGGCATTTGTCTATGAAAGATCTAGGGTATTTAAGGTTTGAGCCAATATTATAGATATATTTATATTCCTCAACAATGAATTCCGGGCTGCAAATTCTCAAAGCACGTAAAAACATTGTTGAAAATACTGACTGTTTGACTCTATTATGGTGGGCAGAATAATAATGAATGTATGAACACACATTAGTTGGTTTTCTATAAATACTGAACTTAAAAGTGTTACCTATTCTGTGTATCAGACAGTCTAGGAATGGCAATTTACAGTCTTGCTCTAATTCCACAGTGAATTTGATCGAGGGGGCTAAGCTGTTAAGTTGTGGCAGGAAAGCTTTTAGGTCCTCATTACATGGCCAGAGACATAATACATCATCAACATATCTAAACCACACTGCTGAAGGTGGTAAAATATTACTTAATAGTTTCTTTTCAAAGAATTCCATATATAGGTTGCTTAATACAGGTGAGAGTGGATTACCCATTGCCATACCAAATTTTTGAGAATAATATTCTCCATTGAATTGAAATTTACAATCCTTAATACATAGTTTGATGAGTTCGATGAAGTCTTCTTTCGAGACGGGCAGTGAAATATCATCCAGGGAATCTATGAGGAACTCTAGTAAATCATCAACTGGGACCTTTGTAAAGAGTGATGTTACATCAAAGCTGACCAGTTTAAAATCATAATTAACGTGTAAGTTATTGAGTTTATCAACCAGATCTATATTATTCTTGATATTGGAGTTAGAAATGTTGCCAACTAGGGGATTTAGTTAAACAAATGTTAATTAAGAACTCCCCCAACAACACAATTGGTTGCATTTATAAAGTTCCTTGCAAGGAATGTAATATGTTTTACTTAGGCCAGACAGGTAAAGATCTTGCAACTAGAATTAAACAACACAAATACAGTGTTAGGACAGGCCAGGAATCCAATGCTCTGTTTGTTCATTTGAGGGATAACAAGCATTGCATTGACTGGAATAATGCCTCCTCAATATTACCATGTAATTCAATTGATAGTAGGAACACCATAGAATCTAGTCTTATTAAACATACCGAGGCATTCAACATGAATTTGAGTAACGGCATGTACAAGCTGGACAATTTTGTAATTAAGAAGATTTGTGACCAGGTGAGAAGGCCGGTTCACCTGACCATCTGACCTGACCACCAACCGTTGTGTGCTATTTAAAGATTAGTAGGGTCATTACCTAATACCTGACTATTGTGGACCTGATCTCAGCCTCCTCTGTATATATACACCTTGTTTTGTACTTCTCCTTAGTCTGTACTCACCCCTGAAGATGTGTATAGTCAATGAATATGAAGTAGATGTATTTCTTTGTGTATGAACCTCTGTCCTGCATGGCAGTGAGAAGTTATACCACCCTCAATGTCAAGACCTGACTGAATTACTCAGAATAGGCAAACTGTACAACAAGCTTTGCCAATAAATTTGTTAAACTAAACTAAAAACTTGACCTTCACGAGCCATTACAGAATGGATATAGAATCCTTGGAAAGAATTCAGAGGAGAATGACAAGGCTAAGAGACAGGTTGAAGCATCTTAATTTGCAATCCCTCGAGAGAGGTAGAGTGAGGGGCGATATGATAGAGGTGTGGAAGTCGGGGCTGAACAAAGGGGGCATTACAAACGTACTCAAACTATCCAACCAGGAGCGAACTCGTAACAATGGTTTAAAGTTAAACAAATTCGGATTTAGGCGCGAAATAGGTAAACATTTGGATTGGAAATAGAGTAGTGGACGAGTGGAACAAGTTACCAAATGTCATCATTAACTCGAATACGCTGGATAGCTTCAAACATAGGTTGGATGGATATATGAGCATTAGGGGGTTGGGTGTAAATGGGACTGCCCACTATGGGCCAATAGGCCCGCTGCAGTTTCCTCCATTTTATGCTCATTGTTTGTAGAGACGGATCCTATGGTATAAAGGGGGGAAACCTGCCATGCTCGGAAATATCACATCACAAAAACGCCCAGCCCCGGCCAGGAGCAGCCCCAGGTATGTCTGGTGAGAGTGAAAGACAAACGCTAATCGCTCTAACCACTACTCTGTCACCCCTCAACTGTTCGAGGTTGGTGTACATAGTACTATAATTAATAATATTTTATGAAGTGACTATTTACCAGCCATTATCCATTCCTCGATATACACTATAATGTTTGTTTAGTCACTGTTTTCAGTTTTCACTTCTACGGAGTCACTGGCCAGGGCAGCGAAAGAATGTGTATTATTGTAGTCATAAACAATTACCAATACAAAGACTCCACACACACACAATGTCAGTAGAATATTTTACAAATGATGGCTGCATAATCAACAATATATTTTCATGTAACATCATTAAATCACATTTAACTCACCCAAACAGTAGAAATTCACAATGTTAACACATCACTACTACACAAACAACTTCAATAATTAACCTCATGTGATACACTACAACGCAGGTGTCGAGGCATCCACGAGTTACCTCTCAGAGTTCAAGAGGTACTTCGTCCTGTCTTCCTCCGTGCACCAGCGCTTAAGCACAACTAACACTACGTGGTCACGGTTACGCGCAGTGACACAGCACAGTCACAGACGCTTCGCGGCTGCATAACTGAACCCTGTTAACTGTATGGTCTGTTTACACATACCGCGGAGTGATACAAGACTGATGACAATACTGTACCATTATCCTCTTCTTATTGAGAAGTCTCCATTTACAGTTTACTCGTACATACACTTCTTAACACACTTTTAACCTTATATATACTATACTTAAATAAATAACGATTATTTCTACTCAAGGTCACATTACCCCCTGAAGAAAATGAGATGAGAGAATAATGCTGAAGATGGTAACAGAAAACGGTAAGCACCACACACAAGAATAAAGATTTTCAACCTTACCAACAGCCTCGATCAGTTTTCATCGTCACCGTGACTCTAGCCATACAGTAAGCCTGGGGGGGGGGACAAGATGGTACTACTTCTTCACCCGCAAGATTGCATCACTATCAATACGTTCCTCTTACTAACACAATAGTACGTATTAATTGCAATACTTTTCCTTACGTATTAGTTACAGTATATTTCCTATAGTTATTCTCCTCAACTAGCTAAATATCCCTTATTGGTTAAATATGATAGTGATAAGACATTCTTAACTCAGAGTGCGCCTCTGCCATCAATAACAATAACGTTCATAACAGGTATTAAGAATCTACCACTGACCAAACAGCAACTAAGGTGAAAAGTGGCGATATGATATCTAAATAATTCATATACACATAAGGTGTTCAAGAAAACGTGAGACCAACCTCACTGTCTTGCAATTGACGTTCCTACTGCTATACCCCAGCATTAATTGGATCGTTGGTGAATTGACGAGTTGACGATCGGAATTTTTTCGTAAGATGACAGGTCAATGGGTAAGGAAAACGCTTAAATTCACTATGGCAATGATATTCTTAAATAAATTGGGCCAAAAAGAATAAAAATTAAAGCTAGTTGCTAAAAAGTCACGTGACTGCGAAAAGCTCCGTGATTGGTTGTGACGTTGCTGATTGGGGTGAACTTCCCAGCGGGAGGCAGCCAACTATAGTTGTCCAACCTTCTTCTATTCCGTGTGGGGGTTATGTGGTATTGGTTCACACTCAGGATGGGATGAAGAAAGGAAACTCACAATGTGCTCACTGTATACATATTGTATTGGATGTACAATGCAGCTTGTTGCTGGGTAGGTAGCATGGTAATAAGCGTTGAGTAGAGAGAGCTGGGTGGTGAGGGTGCCCAGAGGAGGGACACGCGGCTTGAGGGATGCCAAGGTCGCTAGCGGGAACAGGAGCCGCCAGGCTGGCGCGGAGGATGAGGTGTTGCTTGCTGGTGGCACTGAGTAGAAAGAGGCTGGTCACAGCGGTGTCAGGCCTTATAAGGCGGGGGTAGGCGTGGGTAGATAGTTGACCCCCGCTCCGTGGGCGGCGTTGGAGGCGTAGGCTGGGGAATTCGAGAAGGTTCGGTGCTTGTAGGGGAGGAATCCACTACATCGGCTCATTAAATAAATATTATTAGATAATTAATTATGCTTTATTGTGCAACACAGTAATACTATTTTGAATATATAAATATTACTAAGCACATTCACTATTTCGATGGATATTACCTGCCCATACATCAAATTTCATAGTACAGTGTTGATATTATTTTGGTTTTGGTCATCTGGGGAACCTTAAGATTCTAACTATGGGGTTAAGTACTTTAAACAATAAGACACATTATCTCTACAGGATTTCTGTCGCAAAACATTTTTCGATCGCATAAGAAAATACAGATCATAGGTTAGGTTAGGTTAGGGTATGATGAGTTATAAGGTAAGCTTAACATACACTGGTAAGGGGGGGGGGTAGTAGCTCAATAGTAGTGATTTCCGATATAAATGAAGGTCTAAAATCGTCCATAACAAACCAAAGACCATCAGAAAAACTCTGCATGTCTAAGTACAGGGATAACCAAAACTAAAAATTTACCCAATATAGCCCATCTCGAATCTAAACATCAAATACTTATGGAAGTTAAAGTAAAATTTTACCCATTAGTTAATATAAATGATGATATATCCCAGTGGTTCATTAGTGAGTCATCAAAACAATAACAGCACTATGTTGTCGTGTTTAACTAGCATTATCAAAACAAAATCCAAACAATGTCATTACTTCTAAATTTACTTGCATCTCCATCTAGTACTGATATACTATGTAAATGCACTGGAAAAAAAGAGAGAAAGTCTACCAGGTAAGAATATATGACAGCTGAGCTGATGTGAACATGAGATTTTTTTATGTCCAAAAGAACATAAGAATGGAGGAAACCGCAGCGGGCCTATTGGCCCAAACTGGGCTGTCCCATTTACACCCAACCCCTATCGCTCATATATCCATCCAACCTATGTTTGAAGCTGCTCTTCACAGCACATTTCTTCACTTACGAAATGTCCATGACTTAGACCATAAAAAAAAACACCCTTAAAACTTACTTGAACGTGGCATATGGGGTCTGAAGAGGCCATCCTTTCTGCTACCTACGACTGCAGCCCAGCGGTGTTGAAATTAGTGACGTCATTGCAAATGGCGGTCCTGTTTCAAGAGAAATAAACTTATCTCGACTATTATAGGAGGACTTTAAACTTTCATTACAAATTATATATACAGTATCACTCTACGAACGTGGCAGAGTATATTTCTTGTGTTTGCCCAGAACTGTCAACTCGTCCATTGTGTTATTCCTCATTTAGGCAAAATACTAGTTAGACCACCTAGAGATTTAACAAAATCATGTCTGGTAATAGGAACAAACCTATTACCTGCCTCAGCGCTGAAGGCAGTGAAGAAAATACATTAGTTGAGTTAGAAGTTTGTAGTGGATACTGTCCTCTAACTCTAAGATAAATCGAAACACACGTGCTCCCTTACAAACCTTCCCTGTGCCCAAAGGACGCTTCCAAGTAGTGCACCTCGACATCGTGGGACCTCTTCCATCATCCTGCGGCAACACCTACATCTTCACCTGCATTGACCATTTCACCAGGTGGACAGAAGCCATTCCCATGTCTAATGCTACAGCAAAGTCAGCCGTCCGCGCCTTCCTGTCTGGTTGGGTCACCCGTTTCGGTCCTCCCACGACTGTCATCACTGACCGAAGAGTCCAATTTGAGTCTCACCTCTGGCAATAGTCTCCTGCAGTTCCTCGGCACTTCCAGACACCACACTACTTCTTACCACCCTCAATCCTACGGCATGATAGAGCGGTTTCATCGTCAGCTGAAGGACGCAATCAAAGCACAGCACTGCTCCTTCAGCTGGACCGATACTCTACCCTTAGTGCTCCTTGACATCTGCACATCCCACAAAGAAGACATGGACTGCAACCCAGCAGATCTCACCTTAGGCGAGCCCTTTTGCCTCCCTGGGGACTTCTCACCTACTCCTGACCTTGACCACTTCACTCCTGCTGCCTGTCACGACCTACTGCAAACACTACAACAAGCAGTTTCTGCACTCAAAGCTACTGCCCCACGCCAGCCTTCCCATCGTCCTGAACACATCCCTCCTGCACTACTCAACGCCGAGTATGTCTTCGTCAGGCGCGATGCTCACCGCAACCCACTTCAACGCCCCTACGACGGACCCTTCCCGGTTTTTGCATGGTTAGCGAAGTTCCTGACGATCAATCGCAATGGCAGACACAACACTGTCAGCATCGATCGAGTGAAGCCGGCCACCTTACCCGATGGGCCCCCAGCCCAGCATTACCTCCAACAAACCATGCCTGCATCAGTCTGCCCACAATTGCCACTTGCAGCACCACCTCGCCCACAACATTTCTGGGCACTCTCTTTTCATCCTCAGGTACCTACTGCTTTTGCCGTGGACCCTGCTCCTGATGAGGATCCTGCATCCGGACCTATGGACCCAGACACCCCACTCGGCGCCCCTGAGGACTTTGCACCTGCCGCGAGAGAAGTACCACATTCCTCGCCTGTTCAACCTTCTCTTAACCACTACCCTCCTTCTCCCTTTGCTTCTCCCACAGATCTCGTGTCTCTAGACGGAGTCGTCACCGGTAGCGGCTGAGTGGTTCACACCCCCGCCCCTTATGTCTCACATGTGGAATACAACCCTGCCAACAACAAGTTTCCTGCAGCGTTCGGAGGGGAGGGGGAGTATTGTAGTGGACACTCTCCCCTACAACTGCCACTGCCGTTAGTCGCTGATCAACCGATCCCGCGGCAAGTTTCTCTGACAAGCCAAGCGGTCTGTCTGCGCAGGGTCATCTAAGCAGCGACGCTTACTTCCTGTGGACTCGGTGGACTCGTATATATGCCCACAGCTTCGCCATGAAGGAGATTCTACTCAGCGCTCTCAAACAGACAAGACCTACGCATAATAAGTTCCTCACCACACAGCAACTCCCTAGCACTGTATTGTATATAATGTATATATAGAGAAAACGCCATAGCTGAGTTTCCCTTCTCACCTCCATCCTAGTGCGATCCCACTTCACGTTAACCCCACAAGTTACTGGTAAAGATGTTGAGCCGGTTGGTTAATTTTCAATTAACCAGGTTGGTTCACATATATTATATTGGGCTTTGGTAACGAAACCCAATTGAAGTTTCTTGTTTTATTAGAAAAGTATTATGTTTATATAATTCCTGAGTGTAGATCAACCGTAAGTTCCACTATTTATGAGTGTGATGAGAAAGAGACAACGTTTATGTATAAAAACGTGAATCAACGTCCGTTCGATATTGGTTGGTGTGAGTGACTTTGAGTAGTGACCCATCGAGGGAGAACGGAATTAAGACTTCGTTCCCCCCTCGAGGGAAGACAGAGCCATCCACTGCGGCTCTCAAAATTCGTCTTCCTCTAGTCATGGATATCAAACTACTGCTCGCTTCAGGTGGCCAGAGAGCCGGCTACTTATGCCTTTACTCAGCATAGTATGACGCAGCTTCCCGTGAGCACACCTTATCACGTGCATTGAGCATGTCACCTCATAGCCAGTGGAAAGTTACAGGGGATGAATCTGAATATAAATCAGATGTAAATAACCCATTTATATAATTCTTCTGTTGATGAGACAGGGGCCA